AAAGCCATATCTTTATTTTTCAGTCCCTGAGTACACTTCAAGCAAAATCAATTGGAACACAGTTTTCCCAAGGTTGAAAGGATCACAAAGCAAAAATAGTAGAATTTGCCTCATTAAGACTGTTTTTTGTTTTGTTTCTTCATGACGAAACTAATCGAAATGCTTCGATTTTGTAGCCATCAGTCAATTTTCTTAGTTACGTTACTTATAATGCTTGATAAAACATACACTTCGTGTAGCTTTCATCGCTCCAAATAAATGCTATGCGCTGACGTATTTTTCAGCAAATTTATTGTGCAAACCCTGTACATTTCAAGCATTGGCTTTAAAATATGTGCGGGCTCGTCCGGGATTTGAACCGGGACCTCTCGCATTTTAAGATCGAAGCAACGGTCAGTCAATTTGGTACTCTGCTGGCCCCAGTAATGGAGCCAGTGTACCCCCTCCTGCTGCTGGAGGGAAGTGTTTATGTTTTTATAGTACAGGGACCTGGACCGACATTTAAATTTTTTGGAGTCCCTAAACAGGGCTCGGTTCGAGAGGTCCCAGGTATACTGTATTTCATATATAGATTTATTATAATGAATAAAATGAAATTAAAATTGATGAGGCTAGTCTCTTGGTTAATAGGAAATAAAAGGCTGAGCTACATAAAAGTTAGTTTAAGATTTGTTTTAATCTAAAATTGTGTTGATTTTTGTTTTTGTTTGTTTTATCGTGCGGCCGTCAGAAGGGGGATTTAAATGTGTCTGTCAGGCCGATCTTTCTCGACACGGTAGATCATATGAGACCCAGTGAGCACATTTAATTGCGCGTGGGCTAGACCGTAGTTGGAGATCTTAAGATGGTCTTTGATCGTTTCCACCGTGTCTCTTGAACAAACCCCTTTCCAATTGAAGGTAGGGGAAGGACTTTGATAGCGTTGAGAGGACGGTCTATCTTTAGATACGCTAGCAGGGCCTTTTTAAAATCGTCCCCACCATAAACGCGCACCTTCTCGTCCTCAGCCTGATGCAGGGAGAATCCCGTAGATGTGATGGTGGGGTCTAAGACGACGATACCCTCGTCATCCACCATAATCATGTCTGGCTTCCTCGTGGTTTTCTCAAAAGGAACCACGGCTCCTGTGATTATGGAGCGTCCCTGCTTTTTGATTGCGCCCACAAAATATTCTTGAAGACGGTCATGGCGATCATTCGCGCGCCTTGGGCCCTGGGACACGTCTGCAAGATGTGGGCTAGGTTTTTGACCTTGTCATGACAGGACTCGCATTTGTTTCCTCCAGGTAATGTTTTGAACCTGGAGTACTTTGATTTTGTTGGGACTGAGCTTGCCATCATCTGGCATGCCCTGGCAAAGTCGCTGTCCCGAATATTTAATTCCCTGATTCGAAGAAATAGGAAGTTGGAGTCACCTTCCTTGGTTGACGACAAGCCCTCGGTGTCGACCTTCGAATGCAGGGACCGAACATATAGGTCTTTTGCCTCGGCTCCTTTGGTGCATGAGAAACCCCCAATGTTTATGCGTTTTATTTGGAACAGCTGGGGAGTTGCCGCAATCATTTCTTTAATGATTGGGTCGTCTGATTCCCTTAGGGCTTGGGCGCGAGCATTCCTGAGAAGGTCCTTCAGGACAGTTAGCTCAGGTATTCCTAGACCCCCAGCTGCCGTGGCTGCATGATAGAACTCTGTTGGGGTGTCGTGTGAAAGCCCCAACATACCTCTGATACTCGCCCTAATATAAAGGTCGATCTTCTTTAGGTCATTAAACCTGACCCTACCATGAGTGAGGGTGTAATTAAGGCGAGGCATCATATAGTCCCTCACAGCCACGTATTTTTGAAATTTGGTCAAATGGGAGGACATGATGTTGGATACCCCCTTCTTGACTATATCCCACAGATCCTCGAAAACAATCCCAATTGGCGAGAACCTGATCCCAAGGTACTTGTACGTTTGGGATAGGTTCATTGGGTGAATCTCCTGACCTGCGATATTGACTTTTTGAGCCGCATCGATATAATATGAATTGTTATATGTGCGTATCGATGTAAAAGCACATTTAGCAGGGTTGGGACTCAGGCCAACCCGTGCTGCGTTATTGATAAAATTTGTGGCAAGATTTTGGAGCCCGGCCAAGTCCCTACTGACCAGAACGGTATCGTCTGCGAACAGTAAGGCGTCTACCGGCGCACTACCAATTTTGACTGGGTGCCTCGAGGCTGGATTAGTATTAAGGGTTAAATCGAGGACCCAGTCAAGAACAAAATTAAAAATATACCCTGAGAGCGGGTCCCCCTGAAGAATGCCTCTATTAAACTTGGCGTTACATTGGCCTTGTAGACTGGTGTAAGCCTTGCTATAGAGATTCTCCAGGTAGGATAGTAAAATTTCAGGAATACCTACTCTTTTACAAGCTAAAATTATTGATTCATGAGACACCGTATCAAATGCCTTTGCCATGTCTATGAATGCAAAGGCGCACGGTGTCTTTTTATTGTTTTTAGTGGCCCTATGAACGAGGGCTTTTAGGACGGCGTTGTTCTCCGAACAGCCATTCACCTTCCTATAGCCCTTCTGGGCGTGGTGAATGGGGACTCTCTCCATCCTTTTCCCCAAGATCCTGTGCAGCACTCTAGTGATGTGGGGGAGCACTGTTATAGGACGAAAGTCTGACTCCTTAAGAGGGTATCTACCTTTGGGATGAAGGTAGTGACTCCACCAAGCAGTTCGTCGGGGAGGCCTCCCTCCAGTAGTGCCTTGTTGAGGTAGCCTTTGATGAGGTCAATTGGGATGGACCTTATGGTTCGCCCGTTTAGACCCAGGGGATCCTTGCCATCACCTGCCGATGGAAGACACTTTTCTATTTCCTCCGTGGTAATAGGTTCCACCAGGCTATGAAAAATCTTCTTGGCGGAGGGAGAGGGCCTTTGATCGGTCGTGGAATTTGTTTGGAAGCGTTCCTTCCATGCATCCAAGAATTCAATTGGCATTGAAGCTCTGGTTCCAAGAGCTCCTTGGTTTCCCTCAATTATTTTGAAATGGAACCCCGAAAATCCTGCTTTAGGGCTCTTTGGACTTCCTGTCTGGAGATCCTCTGAGGTTTCGGGCGTTGATGAGCTCTATCCTTGAAGCCTTGGATAGAGTCTTTTATTAAAATAGCGATGACCTCGTTGTAAGAGGTGGGACCGCTCAGCTGCATTATTATATCCTCAAGCAGAGAGGCATTCGCGGTGTAGGAATATCTAGAGGCAAGGAGATTCCTCAACCTCCTTGGGATATTAGCGGCTGGATCTTTAGATTTGTTTTTTGCATTTATAATATGGTTCAGCCATGAATAGAGTGACCTCGGTGTTATGCCTCCCTCAAGGGAGACGCTGATATACTCTAGCATGGCAACAATACTCTTTGTAGAGAGCTTAGAGTCGGGAACTCTCATCAGGGCCTGAGCATGTGAGGCCGTCAATTTTCTACATGGCTTTTAATGGCGTTTGATGTATGCTGTTTTTCTTCGGACAAGCCCTCTTCCAGATTATCCGGTTCGGGCCAAGCGAAGGAACAAAGCCATGGAGCCAATTCATCGAGTGAGAAGCCCTCAGAACTTTCCTCAAGGGCTGTCAAAACCCGTCCAGGGTCAGCTTCCGGGGCCTCGTCTTGGGTTGAATCTTCACTTTGTGAGGTAGGTTGCTCGTTTTTAGCCTTCAAACGCTGCAACACTTCCTGTATGAGGCTTCCCAGCGTGGAAGAGCCTTTTTTATTTTGTTGGGGCTCACAGTTTACGAGTGTTGAATTATTTTCTAGTTGAGCCCCGTTGGTCGATACCCCTGTCACGGTTATGTTGACAGGTGGCCTATCCAGGGCAGACGCGGGCGTCGGAGTCTCTGGAATGATTGTTACCTCCTGCCTACATGCTACCACAGGTCTTGGTGTAGCCAGTACTTCGTGGGGAGGGCTGGCCGTTCTTGGGGGTGAGATGTTCCCAGGTGGGGATCGAGTCCGAGCTGGAGATTTTAGTTGAGGTGATTGGATCGTCGACGATTGATTTGTCTCCGATTGGAGCCGAAATCGTCTAACCTTATTCGGTCCTTCATCTTGGCTGCAGATGTTACTATCTTGCCTTTGTCTTTTGTGAAGTGCGGTTTTGGAGGGCGTTGTCACGACTTCCATAGCACCATCTATTGCTGACTTCATCCTTATTGCGTCTTCCACGGATGGTCCTTCCTGGGACTTAGATGGTGAAGCCAGTTGGTGCTCAACAGAGCGTGTAATTATTGATTTTGCAGCCTCCAAAAGAGAGGCCGCTGTTTCTGCTGCTCTTTGAATTGGGCTTGCTTGTTCAGAAGATTTATCTTCTCTCGCAGCAGAGAGACATCTGTCAAGTTCCTCCTGGTAGGTAGGATCCAAACGAATCGCCTGAATGTCTGACCTGTCATGCCCAGTCAGGGACATGATTTTTGCAATTACCTGACCGCTTGTAAGGTCAGGTGTATCGAGCACTAATTGCGCTTCAAGCAAAGCGAGTTCGGGCATATTTAGTGGGACTTCACTTCTAATACTCCTTCTTTACGTAATAGTCCTCTTGTAAGAACTCTTCTTCGTAGTTTATTTCTGCTGGATGTAGGAGTTGATGTTAAGTCCATGGTACCCAATTCATGGGATAGCCTTCCTGAGTCCACTTGTAAAGAACTCAATTGCTTACTGAAGGACCGGATTCCCAAGGTAGTTATGAGCACTATCCTTACAAAAAGCTAAATGAGTAAATGATAAGTAGCTGCTAGGATGTAAGAGTTGATGTTTTCTTTAAAGTTCTTAATGTACGAAACTCATGGTAGCTATGCGTGCGCTTTTGTCCCAAGCTATTAGCGACTTCCTGGGACTTCGACGCTTGATAACATACATTCGTTAGCTTTCATGTAGAAAGAGGCTTGCGCTGACGTCATTTTTCAAGCAAATTTATTTGCAAACCCTGTACACTTCAAGCATTGGCTTTAAAATATGTGCGGGCTCGTCCGGGATTTGAACCCTGGGACCTCTCTCGCACCCTAAGCGAGAATCATACCCCTAGACCAACGAGCCAGTTATTTGAAGGCAGTGGTTATAATTGTATTTATTTTGTTGTCTTGACCTTGATTCCGGAACAGGATTATTATGGGCGTGCCCTTAATTTGGTATATTTTTATATATACAAATTAGTAACAAGACCACAGATCATATATGGATGGAAATATTATATGAAAATCAGTATATTAAACATTTAGCAAAGACACTTTGACAAATAAATAAAAATACATGGCTTTAAATTCATACTTTTCCCATACTTATCATCCAAAATGAATGATTCAAAACATAATATGTAATAACATCTATATTCCTTGTTTATTTAATTTTCATTAAGAAAATGAGGGTTCAAGCTGGATGTAAATCGAATAAAATAAGTTACTTTTCGGTCATGGATATGTAACGTTTATATTAAAATATATAAAGAATCATCGATCTTCAGATAAATTGTCATGACTCTAGGTTGCGAAGCCCGAGTTAGACGTGGAGTTTAATCAAGTTGATCATCACCCACAGATCATCACATGTGCAAAATGCTATTACATTTGTGCACAGGATAGGTAAATCCCTACCGATGACAACTAAAATTCGAGTCGGATCGTGGCTTTATATCTCAATAATGAAAGACTAAGTTGCAAATCTCAGAGTATCAAATGCGTTTAATTGAGTGATGCCAAGAGTTGTTTCCGGGATTCGACATCATTCTTCTTAGGTATTGATATCGAGGCTCAAATGGAATTCGTTATATGTAGTGATTCATCCTATCTCATCAATAGATTCCCAATAGCTTTTCTTTTTCCAAGAGTTATCGCCAGGAACGCCATCTACTGAGGAGTTTTTATGAGCCTGAGTTATGCTACAATGATTTAAAATGTGTTTTTCAAACAAAAATAATGAGATAGATTTTTTTTTAAAGATCTAAGCTACTTATGAATAAATTATATAAATTGTGTAGGAACACAACAACTGATGTGAAGTCTTTCATGTAAATTTGTTCAAAAAATGTCTGGACTAATGAATGTATCAATACATAATACTTACAAAATATTAAGATTGAGCTAATGGTAACTCCTTTTTTGAATTAGTGAAAATAAATAAGCCAAATATGAAATTGTCGTGCTTTATCATGCGAACCCTGTACATTCCTAAATAAAAATATGATAAAATGAAATAATTGATATCCAAGTTAAAGCAGAATAACTTTACCAAAGAAGCTATCACTTTGAATTTAGTATTTGATTAGGGGATGAGCGCGCACGCAGATCCCCACTACCAGAAATGATGCTATCCAGTTATCCACATTTGGGATAATGGAAGAGGTCAAGCCTACCGGAGTGCAATGGAAGGCCCTCGCCCTTGAGGAACCGCCTTGATGATCACGGTTAACCTCCTAGCCAGGTAAGTATGATTAGACCAACTCTCCCTTCAGATCTTATACTTAAAATCATAGGATTCTTCTTAGGTGATCAACCACATCACTGATGAAGTCTTCTGGGGTCTTTAAATAATATGAGCCCTATATATTTCAAATATAAAAGTTCATTTCAATCAGGATCACTAGTTTTTTGCCTTTTCGATCATTTACATTTTGTTCTAAGAGAAAATAAATCCGCAAGCTTTTGTAAGGACCAAGAAAGGAGATAGTAGAGACATCTCACGGAACAAAAAGGAATATGTTCTGTGTTCCGCCAAGTTTAAAAAAATAAATCATAACAATAAAGCAATCCATAAAAACTAAATGTATTCCTCCACCACAAACAAAGCAATAATAATCCAAAATAAGGAGTTGCGACTAAACTATCAATATTGCTTGTATATATATATATATATATATATATATGAGATACTTATTCGTAGCAAAGCTTTAGCTTTTAAAATATATTCAAACCTGAAATTGTGGTCCAATTTCAGGACATATGTCATATGTTTTCATTGTGTTCGGCCAATCACGTCCATGTATTGTGCCCTTCACACAAGTGGAGTACAGTCCTACAATGACTGAAAACATAGGAGTAATGAGTATGAAATAGTTGCATATTGTGAAATTATTTAGATTATCTTTGAATTTTATAATTATAATAATAATTATTATTTTTAAATAGCTTCCATCAAACAAAAATCTAGGCAATTAAAAAACATGAAAAGAAAAGAATCAATACATATACTATATATATTTGTATGAAACCTCTGGATTCAAGTACTTAAGTATGCAAAAAAAATGTTGGGTGCGAAACGCAATTTGTATTAATGAAGGGATTTAAAATAAAAAATGGGCTATGCCACCCCTCCATTCAACTTTGCTATTGATTACAGTTGAAACATTTGGCAAAGCATAATTGCAAATTGATTTAATCATTTTCGATTTCACACAAATGGTTTTTATAGAGAGAATTGCAGTTCATAGGAAATTATTTGGTAATTACCAATCTTATAGATTGGTGGTAAGAAATTGAGATAATTCTCAATGATGTGCTTCTCACACACGGAAATCTTTAGTAAAAGGCGAAAGATTTATTCGTGTTGTGCGAAAAGCTTGAGCTGATGAGAAAATGATTGGATCTTTCCTCAAGTATAAATAATTCGTGCCACCTTCTTTGAATCTTAGTCTCTCACAAATTAAATAAAAAACACGACAAGGAATGTCATATAAGAGACTTAAATCATTATTACAAGGACTTGATATATGCCTCATTGTAAAAACAGTCAAATTATTATCTGAACCAATTCTCATGTTGGATTCATTCTTGAAGAAAACTAGATAGAATAATTAAATAGACTTCAACGCCACCTGTTGACACTTCACTTGACTTCATGGACATCAGTCTTTTGAACATCAATTTGACAAGAATATAAGGATCGTCTTAAATGATCATTGAACCAGTTTTGGGTAAATGATGTCATTATCATCGACAGGGCTTCGATTTATAATAGGTACGTAGATCATAATGAATCAAAGCCATATCTTTATTTTTCAGTCCCTGAGTACACTTCAAGCAAAATCAATTGGAACACAGTTTTCCCAAGGTTGAAAGGATCACAAAGCAAAAATAGTAGAATTTGCCTCATTAAGACTGTTTTTTGTTTTGTTTCTTCATGACGAAACTAATCGAAATGCTTCGATTTTGTAGCCATCAGTCAATTTTCTTAGTTACGTTACTTCATAATGCTTGATAAAACATACACTTCGTGTAGCTTTCATCGCTCCAAATGAGGCTATGCGCTGACGTATTTTTCAGCAAATTTATTGTGCAAACCCTGTACATTTCAAGCATTGGCTTTAAAATATGTGCGGGCTCGTCCGGGATTTGAACCCGGGACCTCTCGCACCCTAAGCGAGAATCATACCCCTAGACCAACGAGCCAGTTATTTGAAGGCAGTGGTTATAATTGTATTTATTTTGTTGTCTTGACCTTGATTCCGGAACAGGATTATTATGGGCGTGCCCTTAATTTGGTATATTTTTATATATACAAATTAGTAACAAGACCACAGATCATATATGGATGGAAATATTATATGAAAATCAGTATATTAAACATTTAGCAAAGACACTTTGACAAATAAATAAAAATACATGGCTTTAAATTCATACTTTTCCCATACTTATCATCCAAAAATGAATGATTCAAAACATAATATGTAATAACATCTATATTCCTTGTTTATTTAATTTTCATTAAGAAAATGAGGGTTCAAGCTGGATGTAAATCGAATAAAATAAGTTACTTTTCGGTCATGGATATGTAACGTTTATATTAAAATATATAAAGAATCATCGATCTTCAGATAAATTGTCATGACTCTAGGTTGCGAAGCCCGAGTTAGACGTGGAGTTTAATCAAGTTGATCATCACCCACAGATCATCACATGTGCAAAATGCTATTACATTTGTGCACAGGATAGGTAAATCCCTACCGATGACAACTAAAATTCGAGTCGGATCGTGGCTTTATATCTCAATAATGAAAGACTAAGTTGCAAATCTTAGAGTATCAAATGCGTTTAATTGAGTGATGCCAAGAGTTGTTTCCGGGATTCGACATCATTCTTCTTAGGTATTGATATCGAGGCTCAAATGGAATTCGTTATATGTAGTGATTCATCCTATCTCATCAATAGATTCCCAATAGCTTTTCTTTTTCCAAGAGTTATCGCCAGGAACGCCATCTACTGAGGAGTTTTTATGAGCCTGAGTTATGCTACAATGATTTAAAATGTGTTTTTCAAACAAAAATAATGAGATAGATTTTTTTTTAAAGATCTAAGCTACTTATGAATAAATTATATAAATTGTGTAGGAACACAACAACTGATGTGAAGTCTTTCATGTAAATTTGTTCAAAAAATGTCTGGACTAATGAATGTATCAATACATAATACTTACAAAATATTAAGATTGAGCTAATGGTAACTCCTTTTTTGAATTAGTGAAAATAAATAAGCCAAATATGAAATTGTCGTGCTTTATCATGCGAACCCTGTACATTCCTAAATAAAAATATGATAAAATGAAATAATTGATATCCAAGTTAAAGCAGAATAACTTTACCAAAGAAGCTATCACTTTGAATTTAGTATTTGATTAGGGGATGAGCGCGCACGCAGATCCCCACTACCAGAAATGATGCTATCCAGTTATCCACATTTGGGATAATGGAAGAGGTCAAGCCTACCGGAGTGCAATGGAAGGCCCTCGCCCTTGAGGAACCGCCTTGATGATCACGGTTAACCTCCTAGCCAGGTAAGTATGATTAGACCAACTCTCCCTTCAGATCTTATACTTAAAATCATAGGATTCTTCTTAGGTGATCAACCACATCACTGATGAAGTCTTCTGGGGTCTTTAAATAATATGAGCCCTATATATTTCAAATATAAAAGTTCATTTCAATCAGGATCACTAGTTTTTTGCCTTTTCGATCATTTACATTTTGTTCTAAGAGAAAATAAATCCGCAAGCTTTTGTAAGGACCAAGAAAGGAGATAGTAGAGACATCTCACGGAACAAAAAGGAAT